CAGAGGCACGATGAGACCACCAGGGTCGCGGTCCTTCCTAAGGCTAGCACGTAGTTTTGCCCTGACATTTTTGCGAGTCCTCATTGTATTCGCTTCCAGCCGGAATACGTCGGCGAGCAATCCATAAGTCTCCAGAGACTGTGTAGAGACCCAATGTCCGGTTTGGCAATTTGCTTTGCCACATGAAGACATGCCTGCTGACAGTAACGTTTGACGAATATGCGACCAGTGATCTTCAACGGGTGTTTAGTGGGCGCTTGCTCAGCCCAGATGTCAGCGCACTATGGTATACATTCAGAAACATCTGGCTTCGCCAGCTGGCTGGTGTCAATCCGTTCAGATCGACGTTGCGGGCGTCCACCGAAACGCACCCGGAGGTCGGCACAGACCATGTGCGTGGTCAGAGATCCACGCACCGGCTCCCAAATCGAGCGACAATTTATGGACACAGCCCCATACCAGGCGGTAACGTGATCGCGATATGTATCGATTTGTGGTTCCATGGTTGGCCCCGAGGTTTGATTGGCCCGCCAAGATACGCTTCTGCGGCTTGCCTGTGTTCGAAAAGTTTAGTGCTTCGCTGAGAAGAACAGGCGAGGCATCCTTCACACAGCTGTAGCAATCGCTCTCACCATTATCATTACCGGCGCCTACAACCCTGTTGGCCGCCCAGATGAAGCTCATCAGAGGACAACTCTTCCGACCTTCTGGGGCGTTTTTAGATCACCAGCCAACACCACAGTATTCCCGTGTCTTCTGTCTGTACGAAGGAGCTCGATGCAGTTGCTAGATAGAGAAATCATCTTTTACCGAATCAGTGCTACAGTTTGTAGGGGCGTAAGCCGCAATGACAAACAGGCACCGTTTGTCCCCGCGCGACTTCGAAGCACGGAACGAACCAGATAATCTAACGGCACACATCCTACTGTTTACTGGGATCCAATCAATCAGGGCAGCTTCAGCCCGGGGACCTCAAAACAATGCCGACGCCACCTTGACCGGCATTTGAAGCTGTATCATCGCCAGAAAGGCGCAATGAGAATGTGCCGCCAGTGTCGCACTGTGGGGGATCTCAGGGTAAATACGGAGCTCGAATCTTGCAGGCGGGTTTCTGATCAACAGCAAATATCGATCGATAGGGTCTCTAGTGTGCGGGCAAGTGCTGCCTGTTGGCCAATATGCAGCAAAGTGCGCACGTTGAAGCATGCCAGTCTTAGCGAGACGCGAGGACTCCAAAGGGAAAACGGATGAAATGACTTTGTTCGCTTGCTTGAACATGGACTTGTCAACTGGATTGGAGCGAGGCCCCTGGGATTGTGTGTGATTTGAAATTAGAAGACAAGCGACTACTGAAGAAAGCTGGGGGAGGGCCAAGAATTGGGGGGATTGAAAATGGGGGGGATATAAGTAAAGTTGGAGCGGGACGACAAGGATGAAGAAGCGCAAGAAGGGGTATAAGAAGACGGGAAGGCCTGAGCAGTAGCATCCAAACCCCTATCCACCCTGCTCGATGCAGCAGATAGGGCGCCGTTTATTATCCTCTGCGACGGCCAGAGCATCAAGAAATTGTTGTAGGAAAGTTTCATTGTAGTGACCCTTCAGTATTTCCAAAAATGCTTAGTGCCTACGTGAGGCTGCACGCGGAATACGCTATTCAATCGTGGAAACCCTGGCTCCAGCACCATCTCACCGCGCTCGATACTGCACAACGTAGGGCAACGAAGAGCGTCAGACGTTTGACCAGCCTCCCCTACCCACTCAGGCTGAAAACCCTCAAATTATACAGTGGACGTTATCGGTGTCTAAGGGGCAATATCATAAGATCCTGAGAAACCTCAACCAAACATACCATACCCTTCTAATACTCAGTCAAAACACCACGTTAAGAGGCCTCCAGTTTAAGTTAGTCACGCAGTACAGCCGCCTGGCATGTTGGCGAAACTATTTCTCCCTTCGAGTGTCACAGCCTTGGAGCGCCCTCCCGGAACATGTAATTAATGCACCCATCCTATCCCTTTTCAAACAACGCCTTGAAGATACTCTGTCACATTTACACTACCAGATGCTGGCACTAATGCACAACAGACAGTGGATAGTGCCATAACCCTACTCGAGAATGAGTCATTCCAAACTCCCTGCACGAAATTTGATAAACGCTACTACTATAGAAACTGGACTTCAGCATCCTGTCGACCCAAGATAGTTGCACACGAGTAAGCGTTGTCCATGCTATCTTTTTCATTTTTTCTCACCTATTATGTGATCAATAACCACTCCCCTTGTTGCTTTGTGTGCGCACATCCTAATTTTAAACTCCCTTTATACGACAGTGCAGTTAAATCTGTAATCGCCTGAACTGACGACTCCATTATCCCTCGAGCTATCTTTTTTCACGCTAAACACCCTACGGGACATGCCAAGCAACTGCTTTTTTACCCGTTATAAATCATTGTTCACTGTTCACAAAAAATGCATATTTCCAACATTAACCAGTATATAACACAAGAAATAAGGAAAACAGTGGTTAAATTCAGGTCAACGACCACCAGAAAAGGGAACCACTTTCTTAAAGGACATACCAGAATCTTGAACAGCTTATGATCCAAAATACGTACATGGAATTCAAAGCACGAATTTCGCAATAGGGCCGGCAA